TTTAACAAGAAGTCGAAAATATCACTTTTTACCAATAATGACAAAAATATTCACCAAAATTAGAGAATTGAAGATATCATCACAAAATGAACAAATCAGAGAGAGGTCCACATGTAGTACCTATATATGTAATATCAAAACAATCGGACTTGCGGTTTTTAACAAGAAGTCAAAAATATCATTTTTTACCAAAAATGACAAAAATATTCACCAAAATTAGAGAATTGAAGACATCATCACAAAATGAACAAATCTGAGAGAGGTACACATGTAGTACCTATATATGTAATATCAAAGCAATTGGACTTGCGGTTTTTAACAAGAAGTCGAAAATATCACTTTTTACTAAAAATGACAAAAATATTCACCAAAATTAGAGAATTGAAGATATCATCATGAAATCAACAAATCTGAGAGAGGTCTACCCAAGGTACATATACACAAAGTATCAAAGCATTCAGGCTTGTAGTTTTCAAGAAGAAGTCGAAAAAGTTAAACATTGACACGGACGACTACATACGAAGACGACGACGGACGACAACGGACGACACCGGACGATGACGGACAATCACTCATATGATAAGCTCCGCTTGACAAAGTCGACAGCGGAGCTAAAAAGTCAAACCAAAAAACAATTTGATTGAACAGTAGTTGAACTGAATGTCAAAAACTCATTTATCTTTGCAAATAAATTAAAATGGCCACCAGTCTGTCATTTTAAATTGGATCTGAAAAATAGAATGATGCGCATCAAGGTCCCATAATGTCCAACATATGTACCAAGTTTAAAATCCATCCATAAATGCTTGATTTTGATGATTTTTTAGCACAAAAATGTACACTATTCGGCCATCTTGAATCAGATCGTGAAACAAATTGATGTGCATATGTATAGTATTATGTATGTGCAAAGTTTGACTGTGATTGGTCCAGGCATGTCAAGATACAGGTTTAATTCTTTCAACACAGAAATACAAAATCTACAAACTTGCGATTTCAAGTTTTTTACAAATATTTCTAATTTCGATCAGTTGGAGATGGTGGATTTGTTAAATTTTATTTTCAAAAATAAGATTGTCGGTAGATCAGAGCACCAAGGTGTAAAAAAAAGTCAAACCAAAAAACAATTTGATTGAACAGTAGTTAAGTTGAACGAATGTCAAAAACTCATCTATCTTTGCAAATAAATTAAAATTATTTGAATTATTAACAAATAGTTAAATAATATTACATGTTCATGTTCTACACACATACAAATATGCCAATCATAAAATCCAGTTCATATATCTTTATTTCACAATACAAGAACAAATATTACATACAAAATACTCAACATGTTCAGAATATCGAATACAATTCATTTCCAGTAATATAGTTTTTCATGTATGAATTTTATTCAACAATTAACACATAGAACACATTTTTTTTTTCAAATATTTATTTTTTTAAAAAAAAAAATATTTTGTACATAGAATACACAATATACGATGAAATGCTCACTGTGGAGTTATTATTAGACAGCAGAAATAACAAACTAACATACCTAATATGATAAATCCTTGTGAATAAATATGTGTGGGGTGACGTTTTGTACAAGGAGTGGTTTCTAAGTCACAGATTTCAGTGGAAAAAAATGATAAGCAACACAAAACTTATTCAGTGTATTATTTTTTTTTATTATAATCCTCATATGTTCAAAAGTATAGAATCCAGACTGGAATTCTGACTTTGGGAGGTTCATTTCTTTCTACCCACACAAAAGGCAATACTATGATATATGAATTTACACACAATAGTACTATTATGCTAGGTTACTGTATTTACTGATGACACAACATTTATCCC